AGAACTTGTGCAGGATCCATGGTTTTACGATAGTCAATTAGCAAAATGAATACTGATCTTTGATGAAAGAACCCTAGCCATGGCAATACCGAAGTGCCAAATCATGCGACTTCCGAAGCATTCAATCAGTCAAAACAATCAAAGACAAAACACATGCATTAAAGAAATGGACACATAATTAAGATCAGAAAAGAGGCATCCTATTTTGCAAATTAGAACGCAGAAGGCGATTTCATAAGCAAAATTTGGAGTTATTTGCGGTTTTTGAAAAACTTGGGTTTTTCGCAAAAATCTAATATCTAGTTTTTGCCATGTATAGGGTATTCGTTAATAATCATTCCGAACGATCCACACAACAAATTACGTATATTTTTATTCCAAAAAAGAGTGCCGATGCTTACAACAATGTCTTTAACTGGTCATAGAGGCGAATCATCATACCGTATTTAGTGAAAACTTCTTTTATTCATTTAAAAAAAAATCATTTAAGTATGTTATTTATTAGGAACCTGTAAATAATAATGAATCTTCAAATAATTCATAAGAATAAGTACATAATGAATCCTCAAACAATTCTCAACAAGTAATAACTATAATCGGAAACAAATTTCGGGTAAACTTATAACTTTTACAGTGTCAAAGCCTTCAGTCTTTGCACCATTTCGTTCACCTTTAAAAGATTCTTCACATTCAGATTCAGGACTATCGCAATCGGGACCGGAAGCTTTGAAACAAAATGTGATCAAGTCTGTAACCAAATGCCGGAGTTGAATAATAGTAATACAGTTATTAAAAGTACTACAATATTAATGCGTAATGTGTAAAGATTATAAAAAATGAAAAAAATATATAATTGCAGTAATTGCAGTATAATATAAGAATAAATAAACAAATTAGATTGGTTTGCATATAAAACTTTTTAAATGAAATTTTAAGTCAGCATTTTACGTGCAAAAAATTATCAAATAGCGATAGTTCCGATCATAGTAAGGTATCGGATAAAAAAGTTTATCGACGTGATACTTTTTTCTTCTATCTTTTTTTCGAACATACACTGAAAAATCGGGCAGCAAAAGAGGTAACAGAAATTAAAAATGTTCTTAAAAAAAAAAAAAAGATATTGAAGTCGTATTTATACTAAATTATATGATTTACTTCTCTGGGTAAATAAAATGAATCAATAATAATAAATTTAAAAGGCGTTCTCTCAGAAGCTGAAATTATCTTGCAAGATTATAGCATGAATATTCTCATGATTTATAACATAGGCTTACAAAGTCATTTTCATGGTAAATTTTAAATTTAGGTAATTAAATCATTGATATTAACATAACTCTTTTTTTACCTCTTATATTTACGACAGTAGATTTCTAAAAACATTAGTTTGAAATACACAGATAACGAAACATTATTTTTAAAAGATTATTACAGTATTTCAGCTATTATATTTATTGCGTAAAATGAACAAATTTTGTCATGACAGAAAATCAACGTAAAAGTAAATAGATTTGAAAAATAGCGCATCTTCGTTAAAGATATTACAATAAAAGTAAGTAGTTATATCAAAGACTATGAAATGGACAATTGTGCATTATTTCTAATACACTTGAAACTACATATTATTTCTATGTTTTCTGTCTTCAATTTCAACGCATTCAATTTTGCAACAACCAAATTCTCTTCTATAAGCAGTACTTTCGGGATTTTCTCCAAAGTGTATTTCTGTCTCATATTCTTCGTAATATTTGTCATCAGCTTCCTGGATGATTTCACTATTGTATAACTGTTTTGCTACTTTTTTCATAGCTCTTCGTGCACGTTCTTCAGAAAGGAAGCAACGTTGTTCGATTTGTTCGATTTCAAAATCTTCTTTGTACGGAGAATAAAATATTGTCAAGACCCAGACTGAATTCACCTCAGCTGAAAGTTGAAAGAAATATAAAATTTTCAGGATACTTGATCATGTAAAGGCACACACAAACGTAAAGACATTTTAATTACCTTCAACTTGCGAGGTTTTTGTTGCTTGCGAGGTTTTTGTTTCTTGCGAAGTTATTGTTGACATCTTTTTAGATTTAGGGTTGCAGTTAAAGAGAAAGAGCTGTAAAGGCCATACATACTAGAAATTTACCCCTATTTATTGCTTTTGAAATGTAAACAAACGCGTACATCTGTTTACCAAGCAGGCTCATTGACGATCTATGGGTTGGGGAACGGACAATCATCATGTGGGACACGGCATAACACCCTAGATCATCACATAAAAATAATTAACGCCCCATTGACGAGTGATGATTTGAAATCAATCACACCCGTGCCCCGACCCTGATCTAAGTACGTACGTACGTACTTGCGTACGTGATTTTACCCCCAGTTTTGATTGGCTAGGATTATTCGCAACAATTTACATGAGGGTTAGTGGGCGGAATTATACCAAAATTTTGCAAGGAATTTTTTTTGTCACGTTACACCTGATCTTGCACTCTGATTGGCCAGAATCAAAATTGGGATGAAATTAGTAAATGCGTGCGTACCGGTACGTACGTACGTTCGAGTAATCATGGGTCACGTGTAAATAATTTATTGCATTTGTTTAAAGCTTTGAGTGAAATTTTCTCGATAGCTACCTAATCAAATTTGATGAAAGTTTTTTATTTTAATTCTATATATTAATAAAAAATAAAAAAATTCATCGAATTTGGTCTGATGGATGTCGAAAAAAAATCTATCTTGTCTAATAAGTACTCTAATATGAAACCTCTTAATATTAAATTCTTTAGCAAAAGTTTAAATATAACTTTTTTATTGATACTTATTTATTGATTATACACTTTGAAATGTAACAACACCTACTTTTCAAATATAACCTCATCTGAAGAAGGGGTGATAATAACAGTTCTTAATATATGACCTCGTATATAATTGTTCGGGGTCCTGATGTACCTGTAAACTAACTGGCGATAGCGGAGAATATCAGATACATACGCAAAGCAACACTAAAGGTGCATTTTTGGTACATTATTAGATATATCAAAAACGTAACTTTAAAATTTTGATATATATGTGTGTGAAATTTTACATTAAAACACTGTCAATGTACGTATGTACGAATAATCAGCAAAAGTGATCCCGTTATTTGACAAGTATTGTTATATTGTTCCACCACTATTGTAAGTAATAATTGTCGCGGCTGATGCTGAAATCTAGGGCCTCGATTTAAAAATATATGCCCTGCCAGAATCCACATATACTCTTTAATTATCAATTCTATCCCTAAACCCTAACCCAACCCTAAAAAAAAAGCGGAAAAAAACACCCCAAAAAAATTATAAAAGTTCATAACAAAATAGGTCCAAATTTCCGCATCAGCCAATTTCAGCATCAGCCGCGACAATAATTGATCATATTACAGTATTATGTAGAATTTGCTTCTTTTTTACTAAAAATTGTTCCCATGTGTCAAGAATTGAACTAGAATCTTTGCCTTTCAATAATTCTCCATTAGACAGATTACATAATTCTTCAACAATCTCATTAAAAAAATTCTGTCTTAACTTCTAGATATACTGTAGTTTGGTAACACCGTTGCTTTTCTGTCTTCTTTGCAAGATTATTGGAAATTGGCATTTTGACGCAAGAGAAAAAATGTGTTACGAGAAATATTAAAATTATTAATGCTGCAATTTATTGAAGCTATTTTAAATTTGCATTACACGTAGAAATATTTATAGTTTGCAAAAGATCAGCATTCATTTTTTAGTGAAAATTTGATATACAGTAAAAAAAAGTTTTGAACAGCGATCATTCACTTGCATTCACTAGCTCGTTTCTTCACGTTCCGAATAACATATATATTTGTCAAAAAATTTTTTGTAAGATATATAAATACTCTTTTTTGTAACTTCATGTTATATATAATACTAGTTTTAAACTTACAATCATAATAATTTTGTCAAATAATTGCAGTTGCCAATGACCAATCAGAAATGTTAATTATACAAACAGATGCTGTCGGAAGTAAAACACCCAAGAGTTACTGATCACACTAAATACACTTACCCTCGTTAATATCGACCCATTTGGATTGGTTTTAAATCTATGATCATATTAAAGTTGATATATATGAAGGAATTTTAATATATAGAAATACATAAAAATTTGGTTATGGTTTAGGGTGATATTAACGAGGGTCAAGTGTAGTAGCAATATATTTTTCAAATAAATACCACAATACCACGTCTAATGTGGAAATTGGATCACCAGTCATTGTTGAGAAATGCGCAAAATAGTTTTATGAATTGATTATTAATCGATAGATAAATTAAAAAAGGTGGTCCAATATGAATATTACAAACTTTAGTACATTTTGTAGACTTTTTTTTTTGAATTGGTCGTAATTTTATTCTATGTTTAGCCGGTTTTTTTTATATACGAT